TGTTTTGTGTGCGATCTGCCAAGGAGGCCAAAAATTCGGGCATTTTGGCTACGGCATTTTTGAGTGTGAGTTATTTTCCTGACTGGTTACACGATTGTGATTTAAGATAGTACCGGCGAATTGAGTTTCAAAGCATTTCTTTCAAAACAAATTTGCTTTTGAGAACGCTAACACTTAATTAAAAATGAACCACTTTCAAGCAGTATGCAAATTCAAAAAGAAAACGTTGAAAGAGTTGAAGAAAAAAACCAATATGGAAGTCTTCACATTAAAAAAAAATAAGAATATAGAAAAATTGAACAAAAGAAAAAAGACATTGTACTAAAGGTTAAAATCAACAACTGCAATTTAGATATGTAAATTGATATGGAAGTGAAGTAACGCTGACACCAAGAAATTTTGGGACGCATTGAAAGCCATTTTATGAAAGAGCAGTTTACAACTCTGCCAATTTGATGGGTCAGTCATAAAAAAACTTTAGGATACTTTGAAGGTTCCTTGAGTTAGAAGATAAATTTGAAGTAATACCTATAATTGTCACAAGTAGTAAACGGACTTCTTGGAAACAACATGCTTAACATAAATTCTACCAAATTAATTGAGATAAAAATGGAAAAAACCGGAAAGTTAAAAAACTATAAACCGAGTTTAAAATTAAAAGAAAATCCCCCCTCTTATTATGAGTCACAAAAATTACCAGTACATTTGTTGCCATTAGTAGTAACAAAACTATGAAAATTAATAGAACAAGACCTTCTTGAACATGTTCCCTCTGGGGGTAGCAAGTGGGCATCACCCATTGTAGTTTTAAGGAAGACTGATGGTGATTTACGTATTTGTGGAGATTACAAAATAGGCATAAATCACAAAGTTTGTTCAAACTCATATCCCATACCAAATGTTGAAGTTGCATTACATGCACTGGCAGGAATGAGCGTTTTTACAAAAATAGATTTAAAAACGGCATACCACCAAATACCAATAGATGAGAACTTCAAAGAAGCAACCATGATAAATACACCAATAGGGTTACTAAGATGGAAAAGGATGCCATATGGAATAAAAACTGCAAGCGCCATATTTCAAAGGGCCATTGAACAGGTTTTAGGAAATGTACAAAATATGGTTTGTTACCAAGACGACATATGCATAGGAGCTACTAATGAAAAGGAATTAAAAGAGAAAACTGACTTAATATTGAATAGATTAAGAAATGCTGGAATGACGATAAATGAGAAAAATGCCTAAGCAATTTAACAAAAATATCTTTTTAGGTTATTCCATTCAAAAAAGAAGGTATATCACCAGACCAAGCCTTGATAGAAAAAATACTAAAAGTAGCTACACCTACAAATAAAAAAAATGGAGATTTTTTTTTGGGATTGGTGAATTTTACAGGTGATATTTACCAAAATAAACGGACTTGACTGAACTGTTTGCAAATTTAAGAAAAAAAGAATGTTGAATTTATTTGGTCAGAGGAACAACAAAAAGCTTTTGATAGATTAAAAGTAATTATGGAAAAGAAACCAGTAGTGAAAATGTTTGATCCAAAAAAAAGGACATTACGTTAACCACAGATGCAAGCAAACATTCGATATCGGGAATATTATCACAAGAAGGACATCCAATAATGTATTTATCAAGAAGACTAACGAACACCGAATTTAATTATTCAAATATAGAGAAAGAAGCATTGGCTATTGTGTGGACAACTACTAGAGCCTGACAATTTTTAATTGGGAAAAAATTTCTGTTAGGAAGTGATCATAGACCATTAGAGTTTATATTTAACCCAAGGAAAGAATTACCCAAAGTCATGACATCCAGGATACTGAGATGGGCAATAAGATTAATGGCATTTGACTTTGATATAGAATATGTCATAGGAAATTCAATTCCACACGTAGATGCACTATCAAGATTGCGATTTGACAAGGAGTCAAAAGATAAAACAGAAGAATTTGAAGATGCATTCTTACATTGGGTAGAGACTGATGTTTTGTCTTTAGATAGAATGGCTGTGGAAACTAGACATGATCCAGTGCTAAGTAGGATAATATCGAGAATAAAAAAAACTCATGGGGAAATTGTTCTAGGGGCGAAAAGATACAAAGAAATAAGACAGAAATTAACGATAGAACATGGAGGATTTGTAATGGGGATCTGTAGTTTCACAGAAACACAAAGAAAATTGGTAATAAAAAGTGTACATGATGCTATACACTGTGGAGTAGCGGACTGTTAAAAAAGGATAAAATTAGAAGCTTGGTGGCTGGATATTCAAGAGATGTCAAAGAATATATAAAAAGGTGCAAAAAAATCTTAATTTATGGTTAGAAAAAATAGGATGTAAACCGTATAAGACACCGCCATATCACCCTCAGTCGAACAGGTTAGTGGAAAGAATGGTGCAGACCATAAAAACGGGACTAAAAGCATGCTCTCAGCAAAAAAAAAAAAAAGTAGAAGTTTGTCTACCGAGCCTGCTTTTAAGCTATTGCACAATACCACATGCTGGAAGACTAGAAAGCCCATCAGCTTTAATGGGAAGACAAATTAGATCTCCACTAACGATGTTGTATTCCACAAATGAAAAAATGTGGTACAAAAAGAACAAAGAAGCAAATCCGGAAAGGGCAGAATTTATCATGCAAAAAGGTCACAATACAGCTATAATAAATAGAAAAAACGGTAACAGCAGATCAAATAAGGACCCAGGGTGAATATGAAGAGCAAAATGATGAGGAAATGTCTACGATTTCATCCGTTAATGATTTATTAGAACAACCGTTACAAAATGAAACATCAGAAGACGAAATAATGCAGGATCAAGTGGGACAGAATGAGTTTGAAAGTTTGGACGAAGATCAAATAATGCAAGAAGATGCCTATGATTACAATTTAGTTATGGGACAGATCTAGGTCTCCCAGAAAAAGAAATATGGGAGAGAGAGAAGTAGAGCAAAGTAATGAAACTATCACGAGAAGAAGTACAAGAACTACTAGAGGTATAAAACCTATACGTTTCAGGGAGATGTAGTGATACTGGAAAATTAATATGCCTAATTTGCATAAGTGCAAGAGAAAGCCTATATCTCGTCACTGAGGATATTGTAGGAGGAAGGCAAGCTTAGCGACTGACTAGTGCTATACTTCGACATCACATCAATTTTGTTTTCGTCAAATTTGCTGTCTTTTTCATCATGCTATGCTCTTTTTTTAGCGATCTCATCGAGGTACCTATCTAAAAAAAGAACAGTTGATTTAAAAATTCATTTTTTATCGAAAAAATTTTTTGCTTTCAGATAATATTGTCTTTATTCATAAAAGCAACTAAAAGCTTTGGAAATTAAATAATATCTTTGTTTATTGGGTTTTGTATGCTGCAATTCAGAGCTGGATTTGTTTTTTTTAAAAAAAGAAGCATGATTTAAAATTCTTCAAAGACTTCTGCTTTTAAATAATATAATCAATAAAATCCTTAGCATTGAATTTCTAGAGTTTTCATAAAATTAGTTAAGTTGGGTGGTGGGGACAGACAGATATAAAAAAATATTTTTACCATGACTTTCAAAAACAAATTTAATCATTTGTGAATAGTTTCTGAAAGTTTCATTAAAATCTGACAATTTTCTTTATTTCTGCAAGATTTTCCAAATTAATGTCTGTCATGGCAAAAAAAATTGTGTGAAAATTGATATGTTATTTTACTATTTCTACTGACACAAAAGGAAGCAAGTTTTTTTTAATCAAAAGGTAGAATGTTCTAGAAATGTTGGATAAATCTATTAAGATAATCAAAATATACTCTGGCATTTCGTCTTAATAATAACAAACATTTTGACAATAAAATTTTGTAAGTTTAACGCTGTTTTTATCATGCTATGCTCTTTTTTTAGCAAAGCCATGGTGTTACCTAAATTTGTTATATTTACAGTCAACTCAAAAGTGTATAAAGATATAAGCAATGCAGACAGAGAAATCAACACTGCATGGTGATTAGCAGTTTCCTGTCTTCAGCTTTAATTTAACCATGTAGTAAGCCTTTAGGGTCTTTATATTCCAGGGACATTTAATGAAGAAAGAAGACTTTGAAAATTTGTCATTCACTGGATATAATGAAGGCATGAGGAGCAGAGAGAAAGAGGAAGTAACTCATCTAATGAACTTGTCTAAATGGATGGCAGAATAGTGACTGAAAGGGATAGTAATGGGATAAACATTGTTTAGAGCAAAAGATAGGAAATTCTTTGAGAACCATGATCGCTCATGTTATTAAAGGATATGGGGCATGGAAGAATATATATATATATATAATTTCATATTCAAGCAAAGCAATAAAGCCACTAAGACACAAGGAGTTATCAAGAGTTAGTTAGAGAGTATGAGAAGATTACAACGGACATTGCATTTAATTTTATGAAACCTTTCCACCAATTTAGTACTGTGCTTAAATTCATGTCTAGGTACCATAGAGGAAAGTACATCAGAATAATTACTATGAAAATATTTATAGAAAAGGCAGAGAGAAACTATGTTACAGTATTGGAAAAGTGACTGATGTTGAGATATCAGGTCAGGACAATAACATTGTATATTCTTCTTTGTATTTTATCAATATTCTCTAAATACATAGCAATAATAATCTCCATATAACTTAGCTAAGGAATATAGGCTGATAGGTCCTTTTTTGTATTTTCTTGATTTTCATTTGTTTATTTCCCTTTCCCTTTGTTAATTAAACAGAAGGCAGAGTTCTCCAGCAATATGAGAATGTTTTGACTTAGTTTTAATTTGACATATTTTTCTTCTATTGTTTCTCCAATACTGCTGTTTCATTTTTTGGACAGATAACTTGCTTTTTCAGTCATATCAAATAAATACCCATATGATTTTATGATTGCTTAAAGTGTGAAATTGCCATTTAACATGCAGTATTTATTAGGGTGTGTGTGTGCATAAAAGTAATAAACAGATGAATAATATAATTTTCTCACCTTCCTCTGAAGCAAATGTTATTTCAACAAGATTTGTGCATGTGTCCCTTTCCGCTTCTTTCTCAATTTTTCCTCCACCAGATCTTCTTCCATTCTCAAAGAATAACTGAAGCTCGTCCAAGTCCATATCTTCTGGCACACCATGTACAGAAACAGTTTTTGTAGCAACTTCATTTTTCTGCATTTCACTGTCTGATGTATCTTTAATTATATCTATCCATTTCCCGTGAAAGAATATGGGTGATTTTGATGCAACCCTATTGGCCACTACAACATAAAAAAGAAGAAACACATTAGAATTTTTACAAAAAAAAATCTCAGACATTTGACAGAGTAATGGTAGCATTCAATAAGCAAATAATTTATTTGACTAGCTGATTTGTACAATATAAGGAAGGTTCTGGTCATAGTTGAAATCTATAATTTATAATTTTTTTTTCAAATCATGACATGCTTCTATTAACTCAAATAATCACATAAATCTTAACAGAAACAAAAATTCAAATGGTGCTCATGGACTGTTTCAGTTAAACAATATATTAAAGATATAAATTATTTTGTTTTTAGACATGAACCTGTTGATTAGAGGAATGTTAATGGATATTCTGAACATATATGAAGTACCAGATCAAGTTGGCTCAGTTATGAACATCCTTTACATAAATACAAGTCCTATCTATAAATGCTGATAATGATTTCTTATTGGCAGATGTTCTACAAGGAGATAATCTAGTCCCATATCTGTTCATCATTGATCTAGATTATGCCTTACAAAAAATGGGTTTCAATGATAATTGGACCATGAAAGGACTGAATATTCAGCACATTTCTAGCCTCCACTGAAATTAAGTTTGTGACAATATGATAAAATTTGTTAACTTAGAGCCTTAATTGTGTAAGCTTACACAACATAGTTGAGAGGAATCTTTAAAAATAAAACATGCTACTCTTTTGAAAATAAGGGAAAGTTCTGAATAGTGAAATTATCATTAAGCAAAGTAAACTGAAAAGTAGATGACAACCAATTGGTGTCATATCTGATACAGACTTTGCAGATGACATAGCATTACTCTCTAACACACTGGAGCAAGCCAAGCTGTTTTTGAAAATTTCATCAAGTAAATTAGATGGTATATTAATCACACCAAAACTGAGCAAATGTTGTACAACTAAGCAAGTAGATTATTTTCTTTATCTTGATTCCTGGATCAATTCATGTAGGAAGAACATAAATGTCAGAATTGGCAATGTTTGAAGAGCAATGCAAAAAAAATGGAAACAACATGGAAATTAATTGTATCATCTGAAATCAAAGTTGAATTCTTCAGAGTAACAGTAGAAACAGTCCTTCTGTATGGCGGCAGTTTAGGGAATGTAATAAAGACATTGATCAAGAAACTTGATGGGGCTTATACCAAGATGCTGGGAGTGTTTAAAAAATGTCAGTTGACAGCAATATATGATGACTAACAAAATGCTCTATGGTAACTCTGCTAAGTTGATGACTATAACTGCTGAAAGGAGAGAGTGGGCATTGCTTTTAGAAATAACTTTAGCCTGACTTTTTACTGTAAGAAATATAAAACATGATAACATAAGATACTCACCTTCTTTATCAAAGAATCTAATTGTTGCACTCCCATTTTCAATATGAATTTGCTGGACTTTACCACCATATGGTAAGAAATTTTCAAAATATTCTAAGAGATTTTGCTTTGTTGCATTACTAGGAATTTCTGACAGAAGAATTTTAGCTCCTACTTTGTCTAAAATAAATTAAAAGGCAAGACATTAATAAAAAAAAAATGAAAATAAAAAAAAACATATATAACTATATGAAAAAATAAGGATACATTTGGAAGTGAATTTGTTCTTTTCTCTTTGGTTCACTTTTACTTATTCAGTCGCTATAGACCACAGGAATCACTTCTTCCAATTATACCAATATAATAGTTCCAATCATAACAGATACTCATTTGTATTCACCCATAATGAGTGTAAGCATATTTTATTATTGGAAGATTTTTAAAATCAAAAATTAACTTTTGTTTACAAATGTGTCAAAATTAGCTGAATTTAAATGATTTCTATAAGCAAGCAAAAATTTGAGATTCTAATCAATACAATTTTTATTTGAAATACATCAGAGTATTTTGCTTACTGGAAATAGTAAATTTAATTATTTATCATGACTTACATATATTCATGTTTATCAATTAAAGCTAAAAACAAAGCTTCAAAAATACTTTTTCAGTTTTAAAATTTCATTTTAAACCTTAGGTATTGAAAATTCAGTGAATGTGCTCTTTCAAAATGTAGGCTATCACTAATCTCCACAACATTCCTATGTAATTTTTATCCATGACACCTTTGTCTTTCTGAGACAAGTACATTACTGATTTTCTGTAACCGTTGTTTTCCAGACATGTGCTAGATTATCCATTTTGCCAGACGAACAGAAGTCATATAATAATAAACTTTGATTCACTAATTATGCATCTTTCGTATTTCTACAGTATCATTGTGTTTGTCAGAAACTTAAGTCGTTATTAATTGTAATTTACTAATCTATAACCACACAATGAATTAGTCTGACAATTGTATGACATTCAAATGCTTGCTCTTAATTTTGTCAAGATGAAAAGAAGTACTGGACTATCAACTGGTGGTGGACTTGTATTTTTTTCTGCCATCCAATTACTCAAACTTCAAGTAGGTTACTTTGCTGTTTTTCTTGCTTTCTTGCCATTATTTTGCCCTGTGGGTATTAAATTCTCCAAACTTTATTTCATAATTTGTATCCCCAAAATTTCAGCTGTATCTTTTGATTGTTATGAACAATTTATTTGAAGTTTCTATTCTACTTTTCCTTGTTTCTAAACTACTCTGTTCACAGTATTCTCAACATTTACTAGTAGAACTACTAAGTTTGTTTTTTGATTTTACTGATGATATTTGGCAACTTGTATCTCCATGTTATATCATCAATTTGGTACAACTTGTTTCCCAAATTGTTGCTGAATGGTTTATTTTTTTTTTTTTATATAACATAAATTGTTTATTCTTGATTTTACAGCTTCTATAGAGAGCCATTGTGCTACTTGTGGAAAAAAAAGATTATGCAAGGACAATGACAAAAGAAATTAATGATGTGGAAGATCCAAGAACTGCTTGCAAACTAGCACAAATTGGTTCAGACATTTCAAGGAAGGTGACACCAGCCACAAAGACAAAAACCAAGGTAGGCAAAACTTGTTATGAGGCAGAATTTGAAATGGCTGAATAAACAAGGATAAGCACTTGTACATTGTTGGCAGAACTTGGTTCTTCACAAAGTACCATCAATTGACAACTACATATGCTCAACCTTGATAACAGATGCTGTTGAGAAGAGGTCATGAAGTGATTAATGACCAGGCTCAACTAGCACAGAACATTTCCAAACAACTACTGGCAAATTCTCAAGATGTTTCTTTTGGTGTTGAAAAATTTCTGGCAAACAAAAAAAATGTATCTATTTTCATAAACCAAAAGTGAAATCAGTGACTTCAACCTGGGCAGATTTCAGAACCTGTTGTCACACAAGATGCAGTTTAAACAGTATGTCATGTTGTGTGCTTGGTGGAATTTTGAGAGGGTATTATACTGAGATTTTCCCAGATGGTCATGCTGTGAATGCTGAGCTTTATGCTCAATAAATGCAATGAGTATATGATGGTTTAAAAGCCCACTACCTGGCATTGGTCAATCAAATACATGCACTCCTAAAATGTGACAATGCCTTCACACACAATTTGTGATTAAGCATAACTTGAGAGTAATTTACCTTAAACAATCCAGACTTATTGCACCATCAGATTACCACCATTTCCAAATCATTTTAAACTTTTTACTTTGGACAGAGGTCCAACAATGTTGCCAGTGCATAAGATGAAATCAAGGGAGATTTTTTTTGCCTCTATACTAGCCAAATGTTATGTTCTTATGAAAGAGATAACCCAACTTCCCCATTCACGATAATGGACGGAATAGCAGGGTATATAAAGTACGACCACAGGAAGACCAGAAAAAAAAGATCTTTGTTTATTAACACCATTGTGGTTAGCTTAGTCCTGAAATTCTGTATTTTGACATAAGGAATCCGATTTTAAAATAATTATTGAAAATCACTCTGGTTTACTTTGTTTATTATATCTGCACGAGGGATATAACATTAAAGCGTAGAACTGAGCTTCTGGCATAATAATGGCAACAGATAATAGAATATGATGGAGTAAAATCTTGATGAATAAAGCCTTCCATATGAATTTGTTTGAACTATTAATTAAAGCTTGATGTATTTTTAACCAATCTAGTATATATGACTATCTTTGAAAACCTGAGGCAACCCTGGAAAATTTGAAATATTTCAAGCTTTAATTAATAGAAATTCTGATTTATCTCATGTTTTACCTTTAGCATTCTGCATTATTCACAATGATGTTTGATTAGTATACTGGATACAGGAAGAAAATGTGGAAGCAGTGAGCAGTATTCAAATTCTGGGTTAGTCTGTTGTATTCACTTTTACAATAATACCTCTGAAAAAGACATGATTCCATCTTTTATCTCCCCAGCTATGGGTTAAATAAGGAGATTGTTTTTCAGTAGCAACCTGTCTAAAAGAACAATACATTCAAAACCAAACTTAAGAGAAATGGGTTTTTCCAGGTTATCTTGCAATAGACAAACACCTTGCTGCTAATTATTTGCAGTACATATGGTATATATGACTTGATGGGTTATGCTTTCATGATTCTTATTTTCAAGTATTGCCTCCCTTCAATATGTTCTTTTTATGGTAGTTCAAACTGCAGTAACCCCAGTTATTTTCTGTTGCTATAGTAGGAGATAAATTCGTTGGTTATTGAGCAGTTGTTGGTTTAAAGAATGCTAAAGGAGCTGGATTAGGTTGAAGTTGACTTCAGTATATATTTAGCTTATTTTAAATTTGATAGAAAATTTTTTGTGACTTATATAAAGAAAAGGAGGTTATAAAAAAATTATGAAATATTAGAAAAATATTCTGTTTATAAACAAAACATTATTAAGGTTTTATTTTTCAAGTTTTAGAATATATATTAAAAA